GAAGAAGAAGAAGAACTACTTCCCTGAATTCCCTGGAGGTCTGGAAGGACAGAAATGAGACTCACCTTTTATTGTCCTCAACTTCTGCTGAAATGGTTTCTTTTATGTCAGCCAAGACATTACTGCTATTTCTGCAGCATCCTCCAGGCAGCCAGGCAATTAGGGCTCAATCCTGCAGCATGCTGAGCTGCTATAGGATGAAAGGGAGCTCACACAGTGCTTTGCTAGGGCACAAAATACCTCACAAAAAATACTGTGTTCTCTAAAATTTGTACAAGATTTGCCATGACTTGGCATACAACTTCTTACAAGGACCACTCCTGTTGTCACCCCTCTAGGTCTGTTTTCCAGGAACATCAAAGTAATTATATCCTCATGATTTTTTTGCAGGGAACAAATGTCCAATGAATTCATAGGCAAAGAGGATTTTTTTTGGTTCTAAGTACATGCCTGTTCATCGAGCCAAGAAGGGTAAACCACAGCCTGCACATCATTACCACATCTAACAGATACTCATGCTGTTTTAGTAATGTGAAATATTGAGGCACATCCAGACCAGAGACTCATAGAATGGTTTGGGTTGGAAGGAACCTCAAAAATTATCTAGATCAAACCATTTGCTCAAAGTTGTGGCAGAGCCAGCAGCCAAACTTCTTCAGATCTGAAAATATATTAATGCTGATGCTGCACTGTACTTTGCTCTCAGCTGCTATCTGAGTCACACCCAATAAAGTGCTGTGGCAGAGCAGAGCACTGGGTTAATTTTAATGAGATGTGGGCAGAAATTCAGAACTAATAACTGCAGAGAAATCCCGTTAAATACCCTTTTAGAAAGAGAATGAGATTCTACCCATCTGCAGTCATAACAGGGAAAAATTGTAAGCACAGAAGCCTAGCTGAATTTTTTGCATGTAATTATAATCTGCCCTTCTAAATTCACCTTCTCTTTTCAAGGAGATCATATATTCTTTGCTTCCTGTCCCAAACTGCTTTCCAGTGACAGATTGCACTTGTGTTGTGCGTCTCCTACTCACTGGAGTTAATTATTTTTGGTTGACGAGGCTCTTCATGCTTTCCTGCCCCCGGAATCTGAACCACCCTTTAGTACAGCACCAACAGAGACTCCCCTTCGCCACAGGCGATAGCAGATTTGGAGCAGGAGGTTGTCCCTATGCTCTGCAGAACCTTCCACCCTGCACAGCAGCCTTCTGTTCTCTCCAGAGAGTGCACTGTTGGCATTTTGCATGGCTTTGTGGTACATCAGGAGCTCCACCTTGGGAACAACGAGTTTCTCTCCTGTGGCCACACACTTTCCTAAGGAGTTTCAAAACAGTCATTAACCAGGAGATATCTATTTGCAATCAGCCTAAATTTACCATACAGTAGTCCCTCCCTTCATTGAAATTTTTTGATGCTCTAGATCCACAGACCACTGTGGACTCTTTTCCTTTTTTCTGCAGTACTACATATTTCATTGTTCTTTTTTCCTCTGAAACATTATAAAGATGTTTTGCCACATCATACAATTCCATCAGCCATCTCCAAGTGACAACAGTGCTGGGCAGGCTGCTCTGTCTCAACCCATCTATCTTACCCACCCTACCCTGCTCTCTTATTCCTCCCGTGCTTCTTCTTTGATCCCTTTGATGCAGATAGACCCCCCCCCACTCTTCTCTTGGTCTGTGTTTTTTGCTGTTAGGCACTCAGTCATCAAATTGAAAAAACTCTTTGGCTGGATGTCAAAGTGATCAGTGCTATACCAAATAAAGCCTAAGGCTCTAACATTTCATCCTCTCTTTCTCCAGACTCCTCCTTCCAGCTCCATTCCTCCCCTCCAGTCAACAGCCACATACACACACCTCTAGTACCAACTAGTATCCTTTTCTAATAAAGCATCTCAAAACCATCACTAGTGTATTATCAGCCATCCTGGTATGGATACAGAAAGTAAGACACAAGGAATTAAAATGCTCTCTCCCGTTGTCTTCAAAACCAGCAGCAGAGAAAGGCACATAAGGCAGGGCTTGCTCTAACCACCATCCTAGCAGTGACAAACTGCTGGCTCTATGGCTAAGCCCAGCAACAACTCCCAATAAAAATAACCCACCCCACTTGCTTTTTAATTCTCTGAATATATTTGGCACTGGAAGCTCAAAAGCTTTGTCCTGTCCACACTAGATAAGTTTTTCCCAGTTTCTCTTCCACACACTCCCCAGATGAAGGTATCTTCCTTTTTTACCCCCGAATGATTTCTGCTCTTCTCCTTGGTCAGAGCTCTCAGCCAGGGCTGTGCTACCCTACTTCCATAGGGCTTTATACTAAGAGTGCCCAGATCCTGCACTGACCTTCAGGCCAATGTCCCTTCTATCATCATCCCTGGAGACTCTATATGTATCTACTCTGGAAAGCTGTTTATTTTCTTGAAGGTATTTATAGCATTAATAGCACTCTTCTTTCTTCAGGTTTCTGTTTGCTTTTGTCTCTATATAGAAATTAAAATCCTGGATACAACCCAAGGAAAAACCACGTCCTGTTCACCAAAGCATACTGGACTGAGGGTGGATACTGCTGACGCTGGCTGAGGTTCATCAGACACTGCCTCACTGCTTGCAGATACAGAGATCTCCACTTTTTTGGTGGTGCCTTCAGGAAAACTGGGATATGATGCCCACTTAAGACCTCAGTTTCCCTCCAGGTCCCAACATCTTTGGCTTTGCATCAGCCAAGTTCAGAAACCAGGAATGCAAAGTGAGACCACTGTAAACTTTGCAGACTCCATCACAAGGATGCCCAAGGCATTTTGAGCCTCCTCCCCAGGGGAAAGCTCAGCTACATTCTTTCAGCCTGAGGTAAGGCATGCAGTTGAAATTTCTCTGCCACCAGATACAGCAGGGTATAGTTGAGTTCCCAAAGCATTCTGAAAACCTCAAAGCAGTGGCAAATATTCCAACATCTGCTTTTATCCTTCAGTAACACCTGCAAAGTCTAAGCCAGGGCAGATTTAACCCGAAACAGGGTTGGATCTCAACTAATCTGAATTTGACCACTTTTAGAGTCTTTTGGCTCCCTATGGGATGGGAACACCCCTGGGTGTCTCTCTCCAGGTCAGTTTGTCTGGAGAAAACCTGAACCCATCTTGGCCAGTTTCTTATAACAAGATGCTGACTTGTAAACAGGTCTGCAAAGCCCTGCAGGCACCAGAGGAATGCACATACACCCACTTCCCAGTGTTGCTCCTCTACTTCTCCCTCCAACAGAGCAGCCTGAGTCTTAAAAAGCCAAATCCTCAAGCATTCCTCCTCCACCATTCCCTTCTGCATCCTGATCACAGAGCATCCCTCTCTCTGAGCATCTGTCTGGGAATCCTGAAACCTGGGCCTCTCTCCTGAACCCCTCCCTACAAGCATCCCTCTCTTGAGCATCCTTCCTGCACCTCAACCTTCTGAGCAGCTCTTATTCCAACCATCTCTCTGGTATACCTCCCTTCAAGCTCTCTTCTACATCCCAAACCCGAAGCATCACTCTGACTATCCCTCCCAAGCATCTCTACTGCTCCCCTTCCTCTGAGTATCCCTCCCTCGGAGCATTCCAGTTCCAAAGAACTCCATTCTGACCCCCAAGCACCCTTCAATCACAGCGTCTTCCTGCATCCCTTAAACAAGCTCCTGCATCCTGACTGCCCAAGCATTCCTGCCTCTAAGCATCCATCCTCAACTCTTTCCTCCAAGCACCCCTCCAGCATCCCAACACTCAAGCATCCCAACTCCTGATCATCCCGACCCCCAAGCATCTCGACCCCCAAGCATTCCTCCTGCACCTCTTTTCCCCAAGTACCCTTACTGCACCCCTTCCCCTGAGCAGCCCGTCTGCATCTCTCACTTCAAGCATCCTTCCTGCACCCCTCATTCCAAGCATTCCTCCTGCATTCCTTCCCCTGAGCACCCTTCCTATACCCTTCACCCTGAGTATCACTACTGAATCCCTCACCCCGAGCATCCCTCACCCTTCACATACCTCTCATCCTGAGCATCCCTCCAGCACCCCTTTTCCTGACTACCCCTCCTACACCCCTTCCCCTGAGCACCCTTTCTACACCACTCACCCTGAGTATCCCTCCTGCATCCCTCACCCCAAGCATCCCTCCTGCACTTCTTTCCCCGACTATCCCTCCAGCATCCCTTCCCCTGAGCATCCCTCCTGCATCCTGAGCCCAGATCACCCCTCCTGCACCACTTGCCCAAAGCCCTTTCCCCCTGTCCCCCTCCTTCCGACCACCCCAACCCCCGACCGCCCCCCTTCTGCACCCCTTTCCTTTCCCCCCCTCCCCGCGTTACCTCCGGCCGGGACCGGGATGCGGCGTGGCCGGCTGCGAGCCGCAGTCCCGGAGCAGCGCTGGGCAGGGCCGGAGAGGCGGCGAACTACATCTCCCAGCGGGCCGGGCCGGGCCGTGCCGAGCCGTGCCGGGAGCGCCGCGCCCCCACTTCCTCCGCCTCCCTGCGCCTCCCGGCGAGTGGCGGAGCTCGGCGGCTGGAGGGGGCGCAGGTGGGTCCCCGGCCGGGCTGGGGGGGGCGTGGGGAGGGCCGGGGGCACCCCCAGCGGAACTCCCCCAGGTGGAGAGACTGAGGCACGGGGAACAAGCGGGTACCGGCGGCCGGGAGCCGCGCTGCTGGTCCGCTGTGGGATGCGGGAAGGATGGGTGAGCCCCCTCTGAGCAGGGGGAGGTACGGGGTATTTTTGTAGTACTGTAAGCTAATTTAATAGCGTGAGCGCCTAGCTGTGTTAGGAGAGCCGTACCTAAGGTTGCCCTTAACAGGGTCGGGCTCAGCGCCACTCTGCAAACTTTACATTCCCCCACCCCCTTCCAATGAAAGATCTCCGAAATTTAAGGATTCACAGCACGTCTTGTATGCCCATACCCGGGACATGCTGCCAGCTGGCTCCGGCTGGTTGATGGCCGTGAGCTGTACCCTGCAGAGGGTCTAATTCTGGATGGTACCTACCTTGTTACTGTGATTTCTGAGTGGGATTTGTTATCGTGCAGCTGCATCCGTGCTGGGAATTAGCTGCCCTTACACTGCAGGGGTGCTCTGGAAGTGATGGTGTCAGTGGGAGATGGGGTGGAAACTGGATTGCTGAACCACCCTGTGTGTGAATCAAGCAGTATGCAGGTGGTGGGCTACCACGTGTGCAGATGAAGTGGTCCAGGAAGGGAATAAAGTGGTCCAGGAAGGAAATAAAGAGTATCTGGATGATACTCCAGGGGTGCCAAGTGATACTTATGTGGATGCCTGGACAGGACATTGAAAAACATTGAAAACCTTTTCCAGAACTGGCATGAAATTGGTATATTGGACTGTACAAAGGGTATCATCTTGGAAGGAAAAGTGATGCTCCCCGCTGCCATGAGACCCCAGACAGGCTCCCTCCTGGCTGCCGGTGGCAGTGCCCTCCTGACAGTCTGCACTGCCCACCCAGCAGCCCCTGAGCCTACCGGTGTCGAAGGTCACACCAGGAGACTGCCGAGCACTGCAGCAATTTGACTTTTATTCTCCACACCTCGCTGCAGCCGCATCTCTCTGGCTCTGCACTCCCTCTCCCCCTCCATCTTGTTGTCAGCCGGTTCTCCTTCAGCAGCACTTAACCTTCATTTCGTTCTCTTCGTCCCCGCTGTTTACTGCTGATTTTGTTCCTCTTCTCTCAGGAGGAACCTGACCTTTGTTTTATATCGCTCCTTGCTCTTACTAACTGGTCACCAGCTCTATTTTCCTACCCCTGCCTCCCTACCCCCTCCTCTTTTTGCTTAAATTCAGCAGCTGCAGAGACCCTACAGACAGCTTTCTGCATTCGGCTGCATCCCTAAGCAGGCAGCCCAGGAGATGCGCAAGGGCATCGAGGTGCAGGTCTGGGAAGGGGTGAACACACGGCATCATCACACCCACAGCAAACCAGAGTTGTTGTGGAACTCCCGGTCACGCTTTCCCATTCTCCATGCGTCTCATTGCCAGAGCAGAGTTTCTGTGTCTAAAGAAGCACGGCCAGAAAATTAAATGTAAATAAATACAAATAACTGGCTGCGCTCCGAAGGTGGATTGTCAGCGTGTCTATGGCCAGGTATTGCAGCCGCCGGCAGATGGATACCAATCCTATCGTACAGGGAGAAAGGAAGGGTGACCCGTCGTTTCCTGCCTCACGCCTGCTGGGAATTTGAGTCCCCTCCCAGAGCTGGTCACAACGTCCCCCGTGCCAGCTTCGGGGTGAGCGGCCTTTCCCCAAACGCCTGCTGGAAATTTCCAGAGACATCACAGCAGTCCCGAAACAAAAAGCTGCTGTGCCTCCCCGCAGGCGCTGCATTTTGGGATCTATTGCTCCTGGCAGACACGCCATGCTCTGCTTCACCGACCGAATTTTAAGCTTCTAAATGCTGCATTATTGGAAGGGTTGATATTAAGTAAGTGTCCAAAATCAGGTGGGTCCGTCCTGCAGCAATGGGAAAACGTGGGGTTTCCTCTGTAAGATTACTGTAAATAAGCATATAGGCTACAGAAACTATTGCAAATGTTTAACCTTCTGTAGCTGAGGATGAGCTAAGTATATGTGCATCAGGCATACGTGAAGGGAGGGTGAGTCTGTGCTTGCAATGGATTTTGTCCAAAATTATTCCTAAAGTTCAGCTCTCATTGACACCTACTGTCTGCTGAAAGCTAGTAAGTGGTCAATCGAAGTGTTTATTTTTTTATCTCCTAAATATTTTTGTTTGTTTGTTTCTCCCCCCCCCCTTTAGTTCTTTGATTATTATTTTTATCTTGTCTTTCATGGAGTTTCTTCTAGACTTCAAACTGCCTGGTGTGCAGCCCCATAACACAGTTGGGCATGAGCTCATAGCTGAGGATCTGGATTTTCTCCACAAAATCGTCCCCTTGAGAAGGGACAAGGCACAAAACTGCTCTGCAGATAGAGTCACAGCAAGTGCCATGGGGCTGGCTGTGCCCAGATGTGGAGTTCTCAACTTCATTACTATTTGGGTTTTTTTTGCTCAAGGCTTGAATGTTTTGTAGAAACTGGAATTCTTACCTCAAACCAAAACATGTGTTTCAGTAAAACACAGTGGAGCAAAGGGATACATGCTGAGTGTAGGGAAAATGGGGCATGACCTAGAGCAGAACAAGCATTGTGCAAGAGGAGCCATCCTTGCCTGATTATGTGTTCACCATTAATATGCTCTAATGGAGCAGACTGGAGCCCCATCCTGCAACAACCATCTTTTGCTGAATCCCATTTAGAGTTTCCAGCAGCCATTACAGGTGCCCAGCTGTTTCTTTTCTCATACCTCCTTTTGAGCTGAAATCAATCCTGCTCCTTCTAAGGCAGAATTACTTCCTATAAAGCATTACCTAATCTGTCTCTTGTAACATTTATCTACTTGATGTGGCTTTCACCAGCTCTCTTGGGCAATACTCAAAAAGCCAGAGAGGTTTTTAGTCTGGCTACTCTTCCTGATGCTTAGAAGAAATGGTCCCTGGTTTGCTTTAATTTTATTGCCACTTAGGCATTCTTCATTGTGCCAGCCTAAATAATTAATATCTTTTTTTTTCCTTTTTGCTGTGTATGTTTTTTGTGGTTCATTTTTACTCCTCAACTATTTATACGGAAGCTGCACATATTTCACTGTCTTAAATACAGGTTTTCAAAGTTTTGGTTGTGGAGGGATATTTTACAGGTGAGCTATTGAAGCCTACACTATAAAATTAACCAGCAGTGCAATATATAAAATATACATAAACTTCTGAGGCACTGGTACACTGGACAGAGGACCTGTTGCTGCCCTATCCCTGGAAGTGTTCAAAGCCAGGTTGGATGGGGCTCTGAGCAACCTGGTCTGGTGGAAAGCGTTCACGACCGTGGCAGGGGCGTTGGAATGAGATGATCTTTAAGGTCCCTTGCAAGCCAGGCCATTCTGTGATTCTGCGATTCTATGAAATTAAAACCATTAGAAATAATGACTGTGTAAACAGTCATGTATCACTACATCTGGCAGCAAAAGACCCTATTGGTGTCACAGCAGATGTTAGCTTGTATTTCAGGGGATGCTACAACTTCTAATGCCTTTAATGCCATGCGTAAGGGCTTCAGAGGCCATAAGTAGCCTGTGGGATGGACTTTGGAAACCTTAACAACTCATCATGATCACCTCCTACCGAATTACAGATTGTTCTTGCTTTGTTGCTCTGTGTTTATTTAATCTCATTAATTAAATCTTCTGAATGACAGTAGGATGCCTGTTAACTGCATCTTGGGCATTACCTCTGGAATCTGAAAGGATTAATTAATTCTTCTTCCCCAACATTTGTAAAGTGAAATCTGTGTCTGCAGTCAATTTCTTTTCCCAATAAAAATCCTGTTATAAATTGTCTTCAGATAGATAGATATAGATATAGATACATATATCTTTTGGTAACCATATAAACATATCTATAACTTTAGACTTTACAGTAAACTGCATTTTTTGGCTAAAAAGGATAGGCTACAGCTGTATACATTTTTCAGAGTGGTTAAATACGTAATATTTGTGCCATTTGTTTACATTTTACTTATGTTGGCAAATCATGACTGAGGCTTCTTTTTTGGATGATTACTTGTACACTTGTGGGTTTTTGCCAAGTTGGGTGAAACAGGCACTCAGTTAAATTATGTATACAGAATTTTATTTATTAGCTAATTAAAGCACTCTTAAATGTGATGAATACAGGAGAGGGAAAATAAGCTTATCCAAAGCTGTTCTACATTCAAAATGGTTAGGCAAACGAAGTGGTGTGATAATGATGGTTCTAAATACATGAAGGCATCAGTAAGTGAAATCATGTAGATTTTGTCATTTGACATACTTTCATACCTTCCCTCTGTGTCAACCCCATTACTCTCCCTGGTTCAAACCAGTTATTTGCTGAACTAAACTCGTGGGGTAGACAGTTGTTACAGAAATGTTCTCTATGCAGGTGTTGAGGATGCTCCTGTGAGTAAAACCCAAGTTAAAATTTACAAGCCCTGGTCTGTTGAAATGCTCAGATGATCACAGACAGCATCTGTTCAGCAGTTTGATTTTTTCATAAAGTTAACCACTGCTAGTTAAGCACAAAATAAATCTTTTGTTCTTTGGACAAATTCACATTCAGCTCTCAAATTACATCTCTAGCTGATCTAATTTGAATGAATTTTAAGTGCTGCTTGAGGAGGGGCTACACAAAAGACTTTACTATAAATCTCTGCTTCCAAGAACCATAACCCAATTTGTACTTGTCCTTAGTGACTGCAGGTTATAGAATCATACTGTTACAGAATGGTTTGGGTTGGATGGGACCTTAAAGATCACCTGCCTGCAGTGCCCAGAAGGCAGGGACACCTTCCATTAGACCAGTTAGCCTCCCACATCCAAGATCAGATGCTCTTGGTACCTCCTCTTTGTGGAAATGCCACCAAGCAGATGTGATTTTCATGCTGCGTTCTTGGAAATCCTTATATTGTATTAGCAAAGTACCTAGGCTTGATAAACCAGGGTAGGGACTGCAAATGCTGGTTGGATGAGCAAAGAGAGAAAACTGACAACTCATTTCATTTTAATTTTTAGAAGTTTATGAAAAACATTTTTTCATAAAAAAGTTTGTATGAAGAAAAGCAGCAAGGACTGACTTTATTTCCCCAGCTACTGTCAAGTATGTTGGTTGCTCAATGCACTAAGTCCAGGTTGATGATAAATCCAGTAGACACAGGGGTGCTCATCTGTGCTGAAGTTTTGGGTCTTCTAAGGTTCCCAGACTATCAGATTCATCTTCGTTCTGTGAAGATACAAACCTCTAAGTAATGGGATGAATTAGGCAAAAGCAGATGATTAGGAATGACAGCTGGGGAATAGTTATCCTGCAGCCTTATCCATGGGCCAGATGTTTGCGTCATAAATGTTTGAAATTTAATCTAGTGCAGGGGCAGTGGGGAGGTTCAAAATAAAAGCAGGCTGGTGTCCTAGGAGACTTAAATCCAGCCTGTCTGCAGACTGTAAAACAGCCATAAGCAGAATAGGCTGGCCAGGGCATGTGTCTGAGCAGTGCCCAGAGGTGGGAGAGGAGCAGAGCCCCCATGCTGAGGGAGTAACACCATGTCTGCCTAGTTCTGTGCTACTACACCCAGAACTTTTCCAACACCGGAGCTTAAAGCTTGGGCAGATTTCTGATGCTGTTGCTGGCAGCATAGATATGGTCTTCAGCTTTGAAGAGCTCATGTTACTGCCATATTTTGTTGGCAGCCTCCCTTTTGGACTGCTGATAAAGAAAACAGTTACAAGAGATTTTAATATTATCTGTTCAGATTCGACTGAGCTGTCTGCTTCTCATTCAGGCTGTTAGCCAGTGAGGCTTTGGATCAGAGTAAACCTAGGGTGGATGATGAGTTTGAAATGAAAATCTGCATCTTTGGACCATACGGTGGTCTTTAGGTTGTGGCTCTTGACCATGGGCTTTGCCAAGTGAAGCCTTGTCAGAGACACATCAAAGAAAACATCTCACTCCACATCTGGCTAAGGCTGGCCAAGAGCATGAGAAACCAACTCTCATGGTGTAGATAAACAGGCTTGGGCTCAAAAATCTGAAAGCTTCACCTATGAAGAAAGAACAGAAAAACTGAGGTTGTTTAATCTAAAGCAGCCTGAGGAGCAGCAAAGATTAGAAGCAATGAATGTGGTCTATGGAGTCACTGTCAGTCCTGCTTCTACAGGCTGTGTGATTTGCAGGGAGGTGTAGGGAAGCTTCTGTTTGATGAAACGTGATAAAAAGTAAAACCCATTTCATTTTTTGGAAATGCCTGATTGTGCTTGTAGCAATGCTTTTACAGACATATTGCAAGCCCTTAGGGGAAAAAATACATGGCAGCCACTTGTGCTATAGAATTAGATCAGTTAAAGCCTCCACGTGATCAGGTTTAAACAGCTCTTGACTCTAAATTGGCTAGAAGTCTTCAAGAGTGGGAAGAATGATGAGACTACAGTGCTAAGGAGAGCTTAGCACTGGAACAAGTAGTTTTTTCTGGAGTATATTTGGCTGAGGTTAGTCACAAGGAGGGTCTTTGGTCATGGGCGTACACAGGGTGTTGTGTTGGTCTATGCATGCATCTTTATTTGCCAATTTGTTGGATACATGGGACTAAGGGATACACAGGCAAAGCACTCTGGATTTAGAGATCTGCATCTTTCCATTACTGTGCACTGGGATATAGGCTGTGTGCCAAGGGCTAAAGAACAAAGTGGAATGTTAGTCTTAAACTAGAAGTGCAACACAGGTTCTCATTTGACCTTTAATTAGCTGGTTGGATCAGTTTTTCTTAGCAAAATATGCTGCTGTCTAGAGACGTATTTGTTTTAGGATGCCATTAACACTACTATTTCGATTTTAGCAGCCATAAAAATTGATATTTCAGCACAAGATGACCTTCTTCCTATCTGTATTCTGCTGTGATTCCAGAGCTGATAATAATGTGCAGTGTCTATGATTATTCCATGACTAGTAAGGAAAATGCCTGCACTTCAGTTTAATTTTAAGGGAGCTGCTTGGCAGCTTTCTGTTGAATAACTGTAGTTGCTATAGCGAGAGCTACTTCCTCCCTCTGCAAGCAAACACTGGTGAGTTTCTTGCTGAACTGTTGATTGATTTGGATTCAGAAAACAAGGGAAAAAAGATTTGCAGTTCCTCACATGGTAGGAATTATGGCCCACCTGTGCAAGACAGCTGAGCTAATCTGCAATGGAGAGGGCTACATAACTCCTTTCTCTTTCCTTGCCCCAGCCCTGGCATTGGTCTGGTTCCAAGATATAGCTGAAACATATGCTGAATAGGAAATGTTGGGTTTTCTCCTTAAACTGGCTCACTGTGGGGTCAGACAAGTGCCAGAGATGGCATAAGGGAGGAGGACTGTATGGTGGAGGGCCGAGGGAGGTCATGTCCCTTCCTAAGGCAGTGATGCTTAACTGCACCTTAAAATCGCATCATCAGTTTGTCTCAGCTGATTGCAGAGGAGCCATGTGGAAACAACATCAACTGGGATATGGCCCAAATTAATCAGAAAATGTTTTCTAGGGTAAAACGCATTGGAAGGAGGAAGCCTGGTGGGTTATTTTACTGTCGTGCACTTATGGCAGCAACTGCTCGCTGTGTCAGGGAATTCTGCTTTAATCATATCCTCAGACACTATGGATGATGTTGGGATGTGTCCAGTTCTTGTCCTGTCCTTTTTTGTCCCCTCTAAATTCTGTATTCCTGAGGGAAATGGGATCATATGAGCCTAGGACACAACTCTTGCTTTGAAGTCAGCCACCACTGTAGGCATTGATGGGAGAGATTTCACTTTTAGCATGATTATAAAGTTTTGGAAGGCATATGTTCCTGGCACTAAACTGAACTAACGAAGTCCTGTTCAAATCTGTTAGGAGAAAAAACATCCTTATGCTTGTTCTCAAGATACAACCTCCAAAAGTAATTCCCTATTTCTAATTTCTGTGATGAATTCTTGCCATGTGGTTACCTTCATATATTTAGGACTCCTTATCTCTGTAGTTTAACCTTTCAAAAAGGTCAGTGCAACTAAATGTGTTGTGTTGGATTTTTTTTTTAATTTTTTTTTTTTTAGAGTTAGTCCCAGCATCGTGACTTTTCCATCATGTCAGAACCTATCACGCTCAATGTTGGAGGAAAACTCTATACCACCTCTCTGTCCACTCTGACTAGCTTTCCAGACTCCATGCTGGGGGCCATGTTTAGTGGGAAGATACCAACCAAGAAGGACAGCCAAGGCAACTGCTTTATTGACAGAGATGGCAAAATCTTCCGCTATATCTTGAACTTCCTACGAACTTCTCACTTGGACCTTCCCGAAGACTTTCAGGAAATGGGCTTACTTCGACGGGAGGTGGATTTTTATCAAATTCAGCCGCTGATTGAGGCCTTGCAGGAAAAGGAAGTAGAGCTTTCTAAAGCAGAGAAAAATGCCATGCTCAACATCACCCTTGATCAGAAGACCCAAACTGTTCACTTCACTGTCCGAGAAGCACCCCAGATTTACAGCCTGTCTTCCTCCAACATGGAAGTGTTTAGTGCTCATATCTTCTCTACATCATGCCTGTTCCTGAAGCTTCTGGGTTCCAAACTTTACTATTGCTTCAATGGAAACCTTTCTTCAATATCCAGCTACCTGCAGGACCCCAACCACTTGACCTTAGACTGGGTGGCAAGTGTGGAAGGCCTTCCTGAAGAGGAGTACACCAGGCAGAACTTGAAGAGACTCTGGGTGGTGCCAGATAATAAGCAAATCAATAGCTTCCAGGTGTTTGTGGAAGAAGTGCTGAAAATAGCCATGAGTGATGGTTTCTGCATAGATTCTTCTCATCCACATACTTCAGATTTCATGAATAATAAGATTATTCGCCTAATTCGGTATAAGTAGGAATGGCTGTTTATTGCGGTGCAGGAAGCATGGAGATAACACAGGTTCAGTGTTTCCCTTTAAAACACACAGCCTAATTCAGAATCATGCTTATCTGGATTAAGAGTCACTAACAAGGAGATGATTTTCCTTTAATGTACTTACCAATACGACCTTTCAGAATATGTCTGTATTCTAGATGGAAGCAATATTGTCTAGCGCCTGAATTAAGGACTGGTTCTGTCTCTGCTGCCCCCTCTGACCTGCTGTACAGTTGTGGGGAAAATCACCAAACTTCTCTCCTTTCTACTTTTCCCAGTCAGAAAATGGAAGTGATCCCTAGCCTATGTTGCAAGGGGATGTGCGGGTTCAGTAATCAAGGTTTGGAATGTATCTGGAGAACAGATGTGGTGAAAGATGCCATGGAGCTGCAGTGCAGGAGACAGCCCTAGGAACGAATTTTCCATGTCTTGTTGTATCACCTGTGTGGAGCATTCAAGAAGCTTGATTGAATCCACAGATAAGAAGCCTCCCTCGTGCACTCAATACAGCTGTAAAGGATGGTGCAAACTGCAAATGAGTAAGGGATCCCATCTCCCTGGGTTCAACAAAGGACTTCTCTCACCATCTGAAGTTGCCTTGTGTTTTTTTTCTGAACCCTGTGAGGAAGCCCCTGCTTTATTCTGCTTTCAGGGAAGCCATGTTGGAATACTGTGACTGGCATGGAGAACAACCAAGGAAGCCATAGAAGAGAGAATGGTGTTCTTACAAACAAAGAAGATTAAACTTTTACATTCCAAAGGCATCCAAGACAACTAGTCCTTTTCTTTCTCTTGTAGTGTTAATATTTGTCTGGAGGATGCTGCTGAAACTTTCTGAGATGAAGACAGATTTTGGGGCAGAGGCCCCCAAATGCCTTCTAAGCATTTGAGCCTCTTCTGGCCTTCTTTTGGGCACATCTCCCTTCAACAGTGCCTGGAGTGCATCACATGCTCTCTGGATAGGATGGATTCCATTTGAAAAGACAACATTCTCATCAGGTTACACCTAGTATTTTTCATTACAAAATCAGAGGCTCATTTTTCCTATCCTAGTACACTGAGCCTTTTTTTTTTTAACATCCATGTAAAATGGTCAGGTCACTAAATAGCATTTTCCTCACTTGTTTGGCTTCAGTGTCAGGTTGCCATAGGTAAGGCAGTGGGAATCCAGAGGTGACAACAATGGTCACCTACACACCTGGTCTGTGCTATAATGAAGATTATAATTCAATAGCTGCATATTGTCTCTAAACATCATTTGTGCCACATTCAAAATGGTTCTTTCTCAGCTAATTATGTTTAAAAGTATCTTAACTGTATTTCCCTAGCCAGATGGCTATGAGTACATTAGAGACCCTCTGGAACATTTTCCGGTGTCTTTAATGAGATAAAAGGGAAAATGCAATAACCAAGTTTTGCATTTAGAATTTTAGCACTTCCAAAGGTTCTTAGCACAGGGCTGCAAAGCTCTGTATTACTCATGTTCTTGTTTCCCAAAGTAACTAGTCTGTCATTACATTAAGCTGACCTGTGAACAAGCATAAAGAAGCTCTTTTTCTTGTAAAAAACAGTGAGATCAGTATATTTCTAATGTCCCAAGCTGTAACTGCATGAACAACACAAATCAGCATGCTGATGGGAAAAATACACATTCTGCAGCTCTTGTCAGCCTGTTACAGACCACTGCCCTTTGTCTGACCTGGTGCTAAACCAGCATGATATACGTGGGACCATGTTGCCAGAAAGTACTTACTGGGCTTGAAGCCCTCAGAACCATTAAACCTGGCAAATACTGTGAATTTTAAGGACTGCAGAAAGGATTTTGTGGCCAGATTCTGGCTTGAGTCACCATATTTAGCTTTAGTTGCACAAGGAAGAACTTTTTTTTCCCCCTCATCCGTGTCCTGAATTATAAAGCATGTGTTTGCCACTCAGCTGGACATTCACAGAGATGACTGTGCTGTTAATGTGATTATGATCTGTAAAATGAACCCTCCTTGATCAAATCTATGCCTTGAAACAGATACGCCTTTGCTGAATTTATGATAACATAGCTTTTGGGGACCGTTGACAGTATTTGTTTTTAGCCCACATCCTTGAGAGTAGATTTTAAATGATCTTTAACAGGAGTTCTTCTATGTCATGACTAAAGTCAGCTTGAGTATTATGAAAGGTAAGAGCAGTGGGCATAATCTCATTTGGAGGTGGTGGTGGGGAAGTCTGATCTACATCCTTTAGAGCTCTGGATCAGTACTACTCCATTCTGTTTCAGCAAAATAAAAATATTGCCTGGGGGAGTTGAATCATTACTGCATTTTCTGGTGAAAGGTGAATAAGAGAAGTCTGTAAAAGGAGAGAACTGAACTCAAATCTTCACCTGGAGTGCTTTAAGCCCTTAGTCTCTTATGCAAAAGATGGATGACTTGAATACACACTTATTCGTACTCATGTAACTAAATCAGGAAAAGGTAGAGCTGGCCACAAATCTGTCATTTATTAATACATAGAGAGATGCAAAATATCTCTCTTCTTTATGTAGATAGATGCAAAATTTCCAACCAGTATAAAGACATGAGTGAAGCCAAGCTTCAGGAGGAACAGAAAAACTCAAGGTACCTCTAAATTGCTAAGCTCAATAAACATCTTTATGTATGGAGTACTATTTTTAATGCCACGGCCATTCTGTGTGCTAACGGAGCACGGGAAATAGGCAGTGAGTGAATCACTGATGATTGCAGGCAAACATATGTTTTGTGCAGTTGCTATTTCAAACTATACGCTAAGCTAAATCTATAGCTGCTCCCGAATTTTGCATTCTGTGAGTTACGTTATAATGACTGTTTATAGGAATGTTCTCTCTCCAAAGCATTTGTTTGCATTTTATCTGGATAGCTGGTTTTTGTTTACCTTCCTTTTCTGAGCCCTAGAGGCGTAACTTGCTTTTGTTTACCAGTGAACAGCACTGATAATGATTCTTCTCAAGAGTTTTCCTGAATTACGGAGAAGCAAATATGCACAAATCCATTTTAAGTGCAGCACAACCCCATCACTAGTCATGAAATGCACTTAGCATTTATTAGCAGTAACATCTAAAAATAATTTCACTGTTGAGTGGAATATTCATTCTCAGAACAAATAGGTGGTGGTTTTTCCTGAAAAGGTTCTAGTGACTTTTTTCCCCTTAAAGCTTGAAGGGTGTTTTCTTCTACATCTTGGTGCATAACTCCCGTTTCTGCCATATGCCTGTCTCTGTTAACACCTCTGTGTACAAAATGAGGCCAAGTCCTGCATTTTTTTTTTTAAATGGTCTCACTTTTTCGGTGGTTTTGTATTTTCGATTATTTTAATGGCTACTGAATAGAGCATTCAGTTGTGTTAGAGCAGAAAGATACCAGAGTTAGGGCAGATGATAAGTTGTTAGCTGTAGTCTAATGTCATTTTCAGGCCTGGACATGTGCATAGCAGTGGTATTTCTTATATGACAGAATTATTCTGAAACATCTTAATGGAGTCCAGAAAGAAACACTTGTGGATTTCTGTATGTGTTTTTAGGCTCGGTAGCTCTTAAATATCTTAAATATCTAACAGTGTCCAGTTATAATCAAAGGACTGAAACTATACATAAATATTAAGACATAAATATCTAACAATGTTCAGTTATAATCAAGGGACTGAAACTATACATAAATATTAAGACATACTTGGTTTATACAACTGTTAAGAGTCAGGAGGAGTTGGTGGGAGGAGTGATTGTTGCTGCAGTTGATGGTGAGGAAACAAATAGTTGTAGAAATTTAGATCTGAAAGAATTCACATGCTAACAAGAAATCCAGGATTTAGTAGGGAGAGTATAGAAAATCTTGATGTGTTCAGGAAAAAAAAAACAGCAAGATAACAACAGAGACAAAAGTTTTGCTGCAAGAGGCTATAATTAGAATGATTCACTGGTCCTCTCCAGTTTTAATCTCCTATTATGCACCTTAAATATGCCAAGAGTTATGCTAGTAACTTCTCAGGAGCAGGCAGCTTTGCTTCAAATTGCATATACTTCAAATCACCAAACATTTGCACTGCTGTACTTACCATATTATAGCTGGGTTGTTGCATGTTAACTGCTGCTTGAGTTCACGTGCAGTAAATACCTGCAATCAATCAGATTTATTCCCACTCTAGGAGAGGCTGGTGGAGTCCATATATAAGGTTGATGGGAGTGATAAATACTACCTTCAGCCACAGAAGGAACATACTGAGGAAAGTAAATCTAGGATCTTCTGACACTTCACAGATAAATGGAGAAGTTATGAAGAAGATTCCTTTGGGGAGTTTTATTTTCACGCCATCCCTTTGAATTTGGTGTCACTGCTCAGAATTTCAATACATTTTGAAATATTTAAGTGCCATTCTGCATCCACATATTGATGGACACAAACATGCAGGGTACAAGCAGTGCTAATATGTGGCCCTCACAGTAAAAGTCTTGTATGTGAATTAGTACAGGCAGTCATACAGATATTCTGTTCAAGAAGGGTGGGACGAAGCATAAATATCCAGATCAGGGTCTCAGATTCACAGGAATGGCTTCCATATGAATTCAGGAAAAAAAAAAAGGAGGTATAGGGGAGGGCTATATCTAATAATTGCTTTTCTCCTCCTCTTGGCATTCCCCTCACTATTTTCTTGCTCTAACTCCTAACTGTAGGATTTTCCCATTGATCAGAATTTGGGCCCCAGTTCACTAAAAGCCATGCTTTGGAATCAGTAGTATTTGAAAAGTGTCAAAAGTTGCTCTTTCTTTCTATCCACTTTTATAGAGAGCCTGAGGGCTATGCCTGATTGCATTTCTCTGCCTGTAACTCTCTTGTGAACTGTTACTAATGTGTATTTTAGAAAACAGTAAATAAAATGTGAATGAAGCAGGAGATGCTCTGCCTGACATATATTTCTTGAGAAAAAAGCATGCAGTGAAGTTTGCTGAATCGGTAGCTTTTCCTTTCTCTAATGATTTTACATAGTGCATCATTGCAATGCTTACCTCGACCTCTCCGTGGCTGAGAATTGTAGGAAGCTCCCCAAAAATTAATGCAGTTGTAGAAAACTTGGATGAACAAGCCTTCGGAAATAATCAAAACGGTTTTAAAAGCATTAGCTCATTTATGTTTCAAACGTTTATAAACAGAGAATTCGTTTTTCCAGTGAAAACCCTTTTTAAACCCTAATGCTTTTGGATTTGTCTCTAGTCCCTGAGTTTGAGCAAACCATAATATATTGCTGCTGTACAGGAAAATACAAGTTGAAGATATTATCTTTGTGATTCCATGCAGCTCCTACAAGGTCCTATTCCTAAATTCATGAAGGTTTGCTGTAAGGAAGCGAGAAGGCATCAGCCTTGTATGCATCTACCCTGCAGGCTGGGAGGAAGGTATTAAAAATTGAGCTTTTTCCTCCAAAAGAATGCTTTGTACCTGCAAGCTGACTCGGACACCAACGACGTTGGTTTGAGATGGCACCTCCCTGGAGCAGAGGTAAGCTGGTGTAATTGGAAGCAGCTTCAGCCTAGTGAAGTTTGGGTGGCCTCACATCACCCAGGCCCAACAGTGCCCAACTCCGTAAGTGGTCCCACAGCCAAATCAACCCCACAACATTCAGAGTCAACTACCCAGCCTCACTGCAGGTCCCGCACCCACCCAGTCCCACATCACCCAGGTCAGAGGAAAGCTGCTGCCTGAGCATTCTCACACCGCTCAAGGAGTTGCACACACACCACCTGAGAACTTTAACAGCAAGGACCAGAGTCCCTTCACAGTGGGTAGCTCCAGTGAGCCCTAGCTGGTGCCCTTTCGACTCCTCACCCACACACACACTCACTGTCAGGCGAGCTTTCTCCTTCAGGCTCAACCCTGGGTTTCCAGTATCAGTCTCAGTGCTGGACTTACGGAATTAATGGAGTACAGCAGCAGGTCAGCTCAAGCTGTGTGCCTCCACAAAGGGACCCCAAACAAAGAAATCTCTGAGCTTTTATACCCTTATTCTACATGCTCATTATTCACGTGGTTCTTGGTCCAACAGTGATTTTTGGTCTGGGGCCTTCTAACACCTTATTGGATTCTTTTTCTGTGTTCATATAGGCAGGATATTAACTGCTTTTGCCAAGTTGGAGCTTCTGCTGATGGCTGCAGCCTCCTTGTCTTCTGGTTTGTACTTCTTGTGCACCTGCTTGCTGGCAGAGCATGGGAATCTGAAAAATCCTTGATTTTGAGTAAGCACTACTTAGCAGCAATTAAAAATCACTGTGTTAACAATGGTATTTTCATAATAAATTCAAAACACAGCACTGTACCAATTACTAAGAAGAAAATTAACTTTATTCCAGCCAAAAGCATATCCAGGTGAAAGTTCAGCCTAAGACTTCAGCAAATCCAGCTGCTCATGCTAAGTAAAGCCAGGTGAGCAGCATGCTAAATCACACACTATTAGAGCTCTTAAGTGACTTGTTCTTATTTAAAACTCGTTAAGCTAAACAAGTAAGATCTCTCAACAACCACTCAACCCCACATCACAGAATGAATCATAGAGTGTTAAGGATTGGAAGGGACCTTAAAGATCATCCAGTTCCAGCCCCCCTGTCATGGGCAGGGACACCTTATACTAGACTAGGTTACTCAGAGTCCCATCCAACGTGGCCTTGAATACTGCCAAGGATGGGGCATCTACAGCTTCTCAGGGCAACTTGTGCCACTGCCTCACCACACTCACGCAGATAAACCACTTCCCCATATCCAACCCGAATTTCCCCTGTTTCAGTTCGTGCCCATGACAGCGATACGCGATCTCCCCGCGCATGCGTAGTGGCGCTCCCGACGCCGCTGCGGGCGGATGGGCGGGGCGGGCGCGCGCTTCAAACCGAGAGGAGGCGGGCGCGGCGCATGCGCAGGGTTGGGGGCTCGCGCGCCATGGCGGCGGGCGGCCGCGGCTGGTTCCGCGCGCTGGCGCTCGGCGTGTCCTTCCTCAAG